GATATGCAGGATGGTCTTAGGCGACCCCTGTGAAAGGGTCATTCCACAGCCAAAGGGGTCGCGACCCACAGGTTGAGAACCGCTGCTCTAGTGAGTCTTTGCTTTTGGTTGCAATTAAACCGACAAAACCAGCTTGCGCTGATGCCGTGGAACCAATTGTAAGGACTGGTGAGGGAATGAAGTCAGTCAGACACAGCCTTCAGGTCCTCCGCAGAGAGGTGCCAATAAAAATCTCAGAACTCTGAGTGCCCAAAGGGCCATGCAGTCGGTCATTCTATGTGTATTCCACCAGCACCTGCCTTGGGCCAGGCTCAGGATTTCTGGGCAAAGTCCCTGCACTCATGCAGTCTGGTAGGGGATGTCAAGCAGATTAAAAGGCAGTTATGGCTGTAATCGGATTGTTAACAGGAAATCTGGGGCACTGGGACTACAGGACACTTCCACAGCCTGGGAGCAGGAAGCAGTGGTAAGGAAAGCTTCCTAAAATTGGCACCTGAACTGGGTAAAGAAACAAGGTAAGGGGACAGCCTAGTCAAAGGCCTGAATTTGGGATGCTATGAAGGATCAAAGTTACAAGGCCAAAAACAAAGGCCCTCAGGAGCTCGGCTGCAGACTACATCCAGGAGGCTGTGCTGAAGTCTATGGAGGCAGAGTCCAATAGGGGAGGGCTTTCTGGGACGGCCTACTTCCAGCCTAGTGTCCTGATGGTGTGGAATGGATGGGCTGCCTTCAGGAGCCAAGGAGAGGGACATTAAGTGAAAGCCTAGGCTTACTTGTTGGAAAGACTTGACTATAAACCCCCATTAACACCTCTCAAGCCTGTTCTTATCTGTAAGAGGAAGAGAAAACTACAGACCTCTGTGGGTTTTATGTGAAAGGATCTATGTAAAAACACTAAGCTCTTCTTTCCAACAGCAGTGACTTCTAGAAATAAAACAGGAATAAGAGGATTTTTGTTTAGCTGTGGACAAGCTATCAAGACTAAGAAAACGCCCAGTGCCCACCCCCACCCCCTGCTTGGGAGGGGAAAATACAAAACCATCAGAGGAGTAAAATAGCTTTTTTTTATTATATATACAATGTATTCAAACAAACCACCCACTCTGAAACCTGCGGTTTCTTGCTTTTCCTAGAGCCCCCAGAATAATATAAATTTAAGCCTCTGGGAGGCAGTTCCTTCCCCAGAGAGGGAGTGAGAAAGGAAGGAAGCGAAGAGGGAGGGAGGGGAGGAAGGAAGACGTTTTGATTCCGTGGGGGTTTCATCTGTAGTAACATACCCCGCCTTGCCATAAATCCAGGCTCCAGGAAGTCTCAGTCTAGGGCAGGCCCCGTTTCCTGAACCCCGGCTGCCTCACTACCCGATCCGTGGCGCTGCCATCCGTCTAGCATTTCGGTTAAGACGCTCCGGTTAACACTATAGCCGAACTTCTGCCTCCGGGTCTTCCCCTTCGCCTTTGAGCATCCCGCTGACCACCGCACCCGCAACTCAGACTCCGCGCCTTCACTTCCAGTACCTCGTGTAGGGGACTCCTTCCAGCGGGCACGCGCAGGGCTTCGCAGGCTTTCTGGGAAATGTAGTCCTCCCCGAGAGCGATACCATGCTGGTTACTACGGCTCCCAGAATGCAATGAGCAGATACGCCTGCGTACAACGCTCAGTAAAGTCCTTTCCTCCGCCCCCTTTCATGACTTCATCGGGAGGCGGGGTATAGTGTCCCCATTTTCTCCAGCTGCCGTTACCCCAGACATGGCGACTCCTGGCCCCATGACTCCGGAGGCACCCTTCGAACCATCGCAGCCCCCAGTTATTGAGGGTTTTAGCCCCAGTGTCTATAGCAATCCGGAAAGCTTCAAGGAAAAGTTCCTTCGCAAGACTCGCGAGAACCCAATGGTACCCATAGGTAAGCGGGTACAGAAGGAACTGTAGATGGAGAGGACAGAGCTCTCGGGGGAAATGAAATAGTGAAGGACCGGGGACGCCAGGGGGACACCGGAACGAGAAGGGGCCGGAGATGTGGCGAAGAGGCCGGGCGGTGGTGAACCTGATTGGCGCAGGAGCCGGGCGGGATTCGAGGGGGCGGGCTCAGTAACTCCGGGGACCCTGCCGGAACCAACCCCTCCAGCCTCTCCCCCCGCCCCGCTCTGGTTCTGAGACCTCAACTCGGAGACCGAAGGTCCAAAGCGGGGAGGGGCCTCTGGGGCCGGGCCTGCCACCCCCACCTGCTTTGTACCCTCAGGCTGCCTGGGCACGGCGGCCGCCCTGACCTACGGCCTCTACTGCTTCCACCGGGGTCAGAGCCAGCGCTCCCAGCTCATGATGCGCACCCGGATCGCCGCCCAGGGCTTCACGGTGGCAGCCATCCTGGCGGGACTGGCGGTCTCCGCGCTGAAGTCTAGACCCTGAGCCCGGAAAGCCCCGCGGAGATGAGCCCCAGCCCCGGAGCAGCCAGGGGCCCTGCCACGGAACTCCTTCCCTCCTCTCCCCCGGCCAGCGCCGGGCCCGTGGGGGAGGAAGCGGCCAATTGATACTTGTTTCGGAATCTGGTTCGGTTCGGTTTGGGTATTGCATACTTCAATTTCTGCCGCACTTTCTCCACTTCCTACTGAATAAACTCTAATTCACTTGTAGTTTTATGAATTCATTCTCAATCTCACCCTCAAGATTTTAGGAGAAAAAAACCGAAAGCCTGCAGGGGCCCTTAGAAAAGTAGAGATTCCGGAGAGGTAATATTGGGGGATTCCGGAGAGGTAATATTGTGGGGTGGGGGAGAGAGGATGGGGAATCTTTCCACAATTTCCGAGCTTTTCCGTAGAAAACCTGCCCTCAGATGAGGCTTGTCACGTGCTGTCGGGGGCAGGGCTTGGGCCTGGCCTCCCTGCTGCTGCTGCTGCTGCTCACGCACTCCCACCCCGGGAGCACTGGAGTGAGAGCATCGGAGACTCTGCTCACCCGGACCCCTGCGCGGCTCTGCAGCATCGAACAGCAGGAGACTCCCGGAGAGTGCCCGCCTGTGGAAGGGAGCCGATTGCAGCGGTCTCATCGCTCTGACCCCGCCTGGGCGTGCCTGGCCTCGAGGGAAGGAAGAAGGGAACACTGGGCCCTGAGCAAGCAGGAGAGGCAGCGCCCTGACTTCTGCTCTCATGTGCACCTCACTCGGGTGCTCCTGGGCTGGGCCAGCTCTAACGTGTGATTCGAACCAAGTGTCTTTTATGTGCTCCATCAGCACCAGCTGCAGCTGCAGGCTGCTGGAGGGATAAGGGAAAGTGAAGATGCGTCCACTTCTTGAGCCCAACACAGCCTTGATTTCTAAACGGAGGCGTGTGAGCAGGGCGGGCTAATCCGCTCGCCCCCATCCTGGTCTCTCCCCAGAAGGCAGAGGTGATGCATGTAGAGCAGTCCATGTGGTGTCCCTGGGCCTCAAGGTTCAAGGAGCAGACAGGGATTGGTGAGGAAGATGGCACTCCTAAAGGGGATGGCAACTGCAGGCATTATTGTATCCCTCCAAAAAGATGCATTGAGCCCTTGCCCATGTGGCTCAGCGGGTAGAACATCAGCTTGTGGCCTGAAGGGTCACATCCAGTCAAGGACATGTACCTTGGTTGCAGGGTCAACCCTGCTGGGCTGTGTGTGGGAGACACCAATGATGTGTTGGTCTCACTTCCATGTATCTGTTTCTCTCTCTCCCTTCCACTCTCTAAAAATCAATGGAACAATATCCTCAGGGGAGGATTAACCAAAAAATAAATAGACTAATTTAAAAAAAGATACATTGAAGTCCTAACCCCAGCACCTCACATGTGACCTTATTTGGAAATAGGGTGTTTACAGAGGTAACCAAATTAAAATGAGGCTAAGGTGGGCCCTAATCCATATGACTGTGTCCTTATAAAAAGAGGAAGTTTGGACAAAGACGCACACAGAGGACAGGCCATGTGAAGATGAACGCGGGATTAGACGGGTGCATCTACCAGCCAAGGAACACCTGAGGCAGCCAGAAGCCGGAAGAGAGGCTGAAACACGTCCTCCCCTGGTGCTGGCGGAGGGACCTGGCCCTGCTGACACTGATCAGATTTCTGGCCTCAGAAGAGTGAGACAATCTCTGTTATTTCAAGTCAGACTCTGTTATGATGGTTCTAGGAGACATATAGCTGTCAATTAAACCATTTAGAACACTATGCAGGTCCCAATATTTTGTTTCTTTTTTTCTTTTTTCGAATTAAAGAGTCACATTTATTGCAATCTGGGACTATGAGGGGCCAAGGGGAAACACGCCCTGCATATTACAAAGCGCTCCTGTGGCAGTGGGTTGGGTACCAGGCTCCTGCCATCGTACCCGTCCCCTGTGACAGAGCAGCAGTCAGGCCTCTCCCAAGGGAGTGCACTGGAAGGGGATATCAGCCCCTCTGCTAGCAGCAACAGGCCCCGAACCCTTTCAGTACAATTAACCAGCTTCATTCCCAGCCACTTTTATAGATCCCAGGGCCCGTTTTCTTCCTTTAACCAGCAAGCCAAATGACACTGGCCTGTATTATTTTCTATTGTGAGTTAGAGGAAGACAATTCATTCTAAGACAGTCGAGTTTGAGGAGGAGCTATTACCCATGTTGCAGGGAGGGACCGGGTTGCCTCCTCCTTAAAAAATACCTGAATCGGTCCCAATATTTTGAATGTAACCTGTTTGCAGCCTCTGAGGAAGGCTGTTTGAAGAGGAAGAAGGTGTGGTCCATGATTTTCATCCCAAATCCGGTCCCAATATTTTGAATGTAACCTGTTTGCAGCCTCTGCTGAAGAGGAAGAAAGTGTGGTCCATGATTTTCATCCCAAATCCACAGAGGGTGCGCGGTGGGCCGCCCTGTGAAGAGGGCCCCAGCCAATCACAAGGAAGGGGGTTTGGTGGAGGCGACCTTCAGCAGCCTCAGCCTGGCTTAGCCTCCACGGGAACCTCTGGTCTGGCCTCCCTCCTGCTTCACGCCCCTTTCCCTCTGGGTCTGTGGCTGATGAGAACAGAGCCTTATTTCACAGGCTTGTTCAAGGATCCGGAAGGATCAAGGCTGCAAAGCATTCTGTGAGAGGTGGTCTTTCTTCCTGGGAGTGGAGGCAGCAGACGGGCAGTTAGGGACACCCACTTCAAGCTGGAGGCTGCTGGATTTCCAAGGGAATAGCCTCATCTCTCAAGGCCGTGCTGGGAAAGTTCTAAGCCCAAACGGAACCCTGACACCCTTTGTGGCTTCCAGAAAAATGAGAATGGTAAAAAAATAAGTGTAAAAAGAATTAACAACACACCCTTTAAGTCAAGAAAAAAGTACATCAGAGGGACAGTCACAATTTTGTGGACTTAGAGGCGGTGTGAGAGGCTGGGACTTAAGAGGGAACGAGGGTGAGAGGGGCGAGTGTTCCCTTCCCAGCCCTGGGAGATGGGGAGGAAGGGAGGAGGCTGTGTGGAGCAGCTGCCGGAGGCCTTCCACCCTCCTGCCTGAAGCAGCTCCTCTGCCCTGCCCCTGCCCGTGCTCTGTGGCCATGCTTGTGGCAGGCACCTAGAGGGACAGTTGGTGTCTGCTTCAGAGAACATGAGCACAGAAGGCAGGCGGGACACGTCTTTGCACTGTTTGCTGCTCTTGGGGTTGAAGTCACACAGCTGGGCCACTTTCTCCCACTCTGTGCCTGGGGTTTCCTCCTTGGACTCCTTCACGAAAGCCTCCTCAGATGCCCTGCAGGTGGAGATAGGACAGAGGTCTCAGAGCTGCCTGCCTTTCCCCCCCGAACCAGTGCTGCTTTCCCCGCAAGGAGCAAGGCTGCTTTGCCCAGCCTGCTCTGGGGTACTTTATCCAGAGGTCTCCTCCCCGGCCCTGCACCCTCTGACCTTGGGCCCCAGGAACAGCCTTGGCATCAGAGAAAATCTAGTTTGGGACTGAGTGCAGACCTCGCCTCCTCAGAGAGGTCTGCCCTTGCCACCCTAGCTAAAGTTTCCTCTTGTACCTCCTCCACCCCTGCACTACCCTCACGCTCTCTGGTCATTGCCTCTCCATCAAGAGTTCCCCACTGGGGCTCCTGGCACCTAATGGCCGTGGAGGAACCAATGTGGTACCTCAGCCATTTTCAATGTTTCCAATAACTTGGCAGAGACAGGACATTGATTAACTAGATAACTAATTGGAGTGCCCAGTTCAGCATTGCCTCCATGTTCTGTGGACCCTGTGTGTTCGTCAGAGGGACCTCCTCCACCCCTGCCCAACCCTCGCGCTCTCTGGTCATTGCCTCTCCATCAAGAGTTCCCCACTGGGGCTCCTGGCACCTAATGGCCGTGGAGGAACCAATGTGGTACCTCAGCCATTTTCAATGTTTCCAATAACTTGGCAGAGACAGGACATTAACTAGATAACTAATTGGAGTGCCTGGTTCAGCATTGCCTCAATGTTCTGTAGACCCTGTGTGTTCTCCAGAAAAGCGTTGTGGTCAACCACTCATAGAAAACTCGGTTAAAGGGGACCTTCAAAGCCAGGCTTTCAAAGCCTTGCATGTGCTAATGTGCATCAGTGGGAAAGTGATGGTGATAGAATCCACTGTCTCCCCAGCATGTTTGATGGCAGAGCTCTTTTTAGCCCGGAATATCTATGGAGCCATGGCATGAGGACCACTCCATTCATTGAAGTCTTAGCTTTTGGTTAGAGTCCAGTTAGGGTGACAACTGGTGGCTTCTTCAGTTCTAGCTGACAGGTATGAAAGCCACTGATGAAGGAACAATGGAGAGGCAAAGTGTAGTCAGTACTGTTCAGTGGACAAAACCTAAATGTGGACATTATTAAGAGAAAGACATTAAAGGATTCTGAGGTGAAAGGGCTGGGTCTTTGTCCTGATTGGCTATCGAGCCCAACCATGTGTGACCAGGCACTGGCGGATGGTGGGGGGCTCTCCAGTTGGTCCACACGGCCGTGCCAAGGGTGATCTGGCCCTCCCTACTGCGTGTGCTGTGTGCTCGTTACCTAACCTGTAAAGTGAGGATCGGAGCCTCCACCTAGTGATCCGAGTGGCTGAGAATCTAAGGAGATGGCAGGTGTGTGCAAGCTTGGGAAGAGGTTGACGGCTGTGCAGAGCTGGGTATCCAGGGGGCTGAGGGAAGCTTTCCTAGCAGCTGTCCTTTGGGTCAAGAGGCCCCCGCTAAACTTGCAGCTCAGTGTGGTGGGTGGTCTTGCTGACGGGCACCACCATGGAGCTTGTGGGTTAGGCAGAATCATGGCCTCAGTCCTACTGAATTAGAATCCTCATTTTAACAGGACCCTCTGGTGTCTCACAGGCACATGGAAGTCTGGGAAACGCTGGTCTGCACTCTCCCTCTTCGGGACTCCTTTGTATGATCCTTGGTCCATTTTCTGGGGTGAAACAGGAGCACTAACTACCCCCGGCACCCATGTCCCTCTGCCATCCCCACTCTCCTGCTGGAACTCTCCTCTGGCTCCCTGCTGCCTTCAGGATCAAGTCCAAGCTTCTTGGCCTGGCACAACAGGCATTTCTGCAGCTGGCCGTGAGCTGACCTTCTCCACACGCCCCCATCTCCACCATCTACAGCCACCAGGCCACTAGGTATGTCCTATCTCATCACCTTTGCCCAAGCAACTTCTTCCACCTAAGATGTCCTTCCCCTCATCTTCCCCTCCCCATCCATTCATTCCTCCTCCCACTTTATGGTCAGTTGAAGGTCCTGCATCTCTGAAGCCTGCCCCGGCTCCCACAGCAGAAGGTGGCTTCCAGAGTGTTGTGTGTCCTTCCACGCAGCTCTTATTACCACACACTCCGGTCTGACCAGAGACTGGCACTGGGTAAGTACCCATGAGGACTGGACAGCCGGGAGAGTGGACGGAAGGTAGGAGCGAAAGGCTGTCACCCTGGGGTGTCCTGGGCACTGTGAGAGAAGAGTTAGCCAGGCCTGCCAAGGCTGTGGCCGGCACGCAGAGCAGCCAATATCGGCTGACCTCTCACACACTCATCACTGTATTTTTCCCTTCAGCTTTACAATCCCCAACACAACTCTAGGTGTCGCTGTCAACCAACTGAGGTGACGTGAGAGGGAACCTCTACCATCTCTGGTCTAGCTTAGTCACAGTACCAACTTGGGTAGAAGCTCTAAGGAGGAGCAGTGCACTTGGGGGTAGCAGAAGGGGATAGGTGTGCTCCTAGCTCTCTTTTTGTACCTCCAGAAACTGGCACTCAATGTTTGCTTCGTTCACAGAAGACCTCTGCACCCTACCTCCCACCCCCAAGAGGCATCTCTTTGGGAAGGAGTTGGGCAGCTTTGCCACTCGCCCCTCGCACCCGGGCATGGCCAGTGCATTCTTTTCTTTTCTCTGCCTGGATTTAGCAAAGTCACCTCCATGCAGAAAAGACCTCCATAAGCATTTGCTGGCGTGGTGGAGGTGCTGCGCTGATTGGGATTCACCCCTGCTCTGGTCATAGCCTTCTCCCTGCCCCTGCCCAGCCGCACTCTTGTACCCCACAAGCAGGAGACTCAAGAAACTGTGCCAGCCACACACAGGGGCCTCGCCCTCTCCAGCTCCCCCAGACAGAGGAGCAGAGGAGACACACGTACACGTAGCCGATGATATCAGCATCTGGCTGCTGGTAGAATGCTTTGTCAGCGATCCTTAAGGGAAAAGGGTTAGGTGGGGGAAGACGAGATGGCAAGACAGACAGACAGGCAGAGGGTTAAAGAGAAAGAGAGACAGTGTTAGTACCTCCAGGTCGAGAGGTGTTAGGAAGCAGAGCTCTGGGAGGCTCGACTATCCACAGCCCAGAGAGGAGAGCAGGAATCCTCCACCCACCCACCGAGTGCCTTTTCTAAAACTCGGCCCTGATCAAATTACTCCTCCTGTTCACCACCCATGTCTGCCACCACTCCCAGCCTCCCTGCTGCCCCCCTCTGCCACCACTCGCAGCCTCCCTGCTTCCCCAGACACAAGGTCCTTTCTTTCTTATCATTCTGTCCCCTGGTCTAGATTTCCCTCCCCCACCCCTGCCCTCTTTTTCCTGATGAACTCCTACTCCTCCTCCAAAGCCCAGTTCCCCAGATACGAAGGTTCCTCCCCCACAGCATCCCTTGTTTCCTCCTGCAGAGGCCCTACTGCTGAGTTCAGTTGGACATGTGTTTCTCTCCTCTGAACTCAGAGGATACAGGTTGGGTCCTTCTCATCTGTCTTCCGGTACCCAGCCCAGAGCCTGGCATGCAGCAGCTTCCTGAACACAAGTGTGGTGGCTTCCCAGAATTGGCCTTGCCCTTCCTGGCAGGCCTAGTGATTTGAAGGGACGAGTCTCAAAGGCTGGACTGCTGGGCAGCATCCCTGAAATGCTCTGAGACCATTTCCACAAAGGTGTTCTCTGTGGCATCTGCTGTCCTTGCCTGCTCAGCATTCATTCTCCTTCTTCCAGGAAGGGCACCCTGATTGTCCTTTGCAGGATCAATTTGCCCCCAAGTCAGTCCCTGTGGTTTGGGTAGGACTGACCCCATGCCCAACCCCAGGAATGGAATATTACCTAAGCTGGGTCCATCAGGGAGTCCCTGCCTCTGGGCCAGTCACTGGGCCTGGCCCATGCCCCACCAATGAGGGTCAGGTCAAGGACTTATGCTGGAGCTATTGGGAGCAAGAGATTATTTTATTTTCATTGAAGTTGCCAAGTAGATAGAGCAGAAGCCTGGAGCTGCTGGTGGCCACCTTCGCCCCCATCCCGGGGAGGGGGGGTGTCCCAGAGGGAAGGCTCCGTAGAGGAAAGAAGAGCTTAGAGACAGTAAAAGTGGGTTCCAACTGACTTTGTTTCCGCCCTTGAGCCTGCTGTGCCTGTCGTCCTACCCCTGGCTTTTCAGTTCTACGGGCCACTCATTTCCTTTAGTGCTGAAGCCACTCTGGGTCAAAGCGCTACAAGCAACAAAATCCCGTACCCAGGCTGGCTCTTCACTCCCAGCCAGGACTGTGCTTTCCGCGACACTAACTGTGGCACAGAGGGCCAGGCCTAGCTGTGGGGCCCAGCACAGTCTGGCTCACATCCCAGGGACCTGGGACCTCAACTGCTGACTGCAGAACTTGCTTCTCACTGTTGTGGTTGTGAGAGCGTAACAGTGTATCAGCCCTTCCAAGTTCAGGGCTCTGAACTCCACAGGCAACCAAGGAAGTAGTCCTGGGCATTCAGCTTCTCCTTCTTCCATGCTCTTGCCACCAAATCACCCATTCTCAAGATGGACCTCCAATACCATAGCCCCCTCCTGTCCTCGTAGCCTCTCATGTCCCCATAGCCCCTCAAGTCCCTATAGCTCCTCTCCTGTCCCCATAGCCACCTCATGTCCCCATAGCCCCCTCATGTCCCTATAGCTCCCTCATGTCCCTATAGCTCCCTCATGTCCCCATAGCCCCCTCCTGTCCCCATAGCCCCCTCATGTCTCTATAGCTCCCCCATGTCCCTATAGCTCCCCCATGTCCCTCTAGCTCCCTCATGTCCCCATAGTCCCCTCCTGTCCGCACAGCCCCCTCATGTCCCCATAACCCCCTCATGTCCCTCTATCCCCATCATGTCCCTCTAGTTCCCTCATGTCCCTATAGCTCCCTCCTGTCCCCACAGCCCCCTCATGTCCCCATAACCCCCTCATGTCCCTCTATCCCCATCATGTCCCTCTAGTTCCCTCATGTCCCTATAGCTCCCTCCTGTCCCCACAGCCCCCTCATGTCCCCATA